AAAATACTCATTTGCCTAATAATTCTGCACTCCCTGTATTCACACACACATATATATATTCTTAATGTTTTTATTAGTTTGGTTAGCAGTTTGACCACTATTCCTGACCTTTCCACCTGACTCTTTTAAATTCAGGGGGATTTCTCTCTTTTAGGTAGCTGTTTTAAAAATTAAAGGATAATTTTTAAAATACAGGACAAGTTAATATCCTGTGTATTAGTGCACTTTCGTAGGCCAGCATCATGGGCTTTTGCCCAGGTTTTTCTGTTGTTTTAAAAATATTGGCATAACATTATTTTAATTTAAAATTTTGAATAAAATCTTGATTTTGTTCATGTTTTTCTTGACTGTTTGTTTCCTACATTTTCTGGGGAATCTAATGTCATGAAAAATAACTTTCTTTTAAGATTCATAGCAGTTCTTAAAATTATGTTAGAGATGAACTACGAACATGGCATATTACACTGTATAGTTATTTATTTAGGAAAAATTAGGCCAAAATGCAGAAGCAGTCCAGTGAAAAGCCAACTATACCCTTACTGCTCTCATAGAAATTAAGAGAGCACTATTAACTGATCGTCAGCAAGTGTGACCACCTCTATAAATGTTTAAAGTAATTACACTACAGTTAGAAAAAGAGTGAAGAAGGAAGTATCGCTTCCTTGGAAGAGCTGATTTCCCCAGCAAATGCTGTTTTGCATATCCTAATCCTCAAGCCATATGTTTCACCATTAGATCCCATCGTCACCATAATATTTATGGACCGATTAACTTTTTATTTTTTCATTGTGGCGGAGTCGAGAGTTCCCCTGTTGAGACAAGAATATGACTTGACATGGTCCTTTTGGATCAGCCCCTGTTTTAAAATCATCTAAATGCAAAAATCTCATGATGCAACTCAGTGTTTTTGTTCAAAAGGTCAATTGACCTAGTGGGAACTATCCTTTTCTAGCCCAATGCTAGAAGTGCTAATGTTTCGATAAACATTAATGTCAGATCTTGAGCATCATCCACACAAGACGCTGCAGCATAATGGAAAGAATTGATGAACACAAATGGACAAGGATTAACATAAGCAACTAAATTTAAAGGTATAAAAATCAATTCTCATTTCTAATGTTTACTTGAAATCATGTGGGGCTCATTTATAGACCCTTCAACATCCCTTATGACAGTCAATTTCTTTTGTGGTACATAAGTATGTAGCAGATTTTACTTCGGAATAAGGTGATCTTGTCTTTGGAGGCACATAAATGTGGAAGTGGTGAAGTGTGGTAGAAGAAGAAAACATTTTACTTAAGTAAAAGTACCAATAACACACCTCAAGGTGAGATAAGTACAATCTCAAGGAGTAACATTAAATTTAAATGCCTATGTAAATTGCATGCACATCAGGTACACTGTGAGAAAAAATAACTTTCCATGGCTAGTGGTGAGGGTGGTGGTTAGTGCCAGCTTCTCTCAGCAATGCTTTTTTAGTTGTGGTGAGCTGATATTATACAACTGTGCAGTAGATGGTGCTCTAGTGCCGTAACATGAACTTGAAAGAAGAAAGTAGAGGAAAGAATATGGTTAAACATGGTTTGACAAGTCTGTATTTATAATATTTGGCTTCCTCTGTCCCCTAAAATTTTGTAGTTTACTACAGTCAAAGTAAGCCAATCTGCAATAAGATCACAAACTCATTGCCACTCTTATTCATTACTATATTAAATATTTTAGTAAAAGGATTTAATTAACCCTATAACAATAGTGAAAAATTAAAAAATTTTTTAAAAATCTTTATGTGCATCATCCATGAAAATAATGAACGATGAACGGTCATTTGAAAATCTTATAATGCAGATTTTCAAATTAAGCTGCTAGTATTCAACACGATTATACACTTTGAGGAAGTGCTCTTGAGGTTTTAGCTTTCCCAAGTAGAGAACATAAGTGGCAAAAAATTACGACAGTCACACTTGTGTTGAAATTGCTTCATTAGTGTTTGGTCAACGCTGTTTTGCTTTAACTTGACAATCCTCTGTTTTTGTATTTTCTGGTCTGGTGTTTCATTTTTATCTTCTTTCTTCTTCTTTCTCATGATTTCTCACAGTTTTCAGCCACATGGTGCAATATTGACTTTTGGGGAAAAACTTGGCAAAAGCTTCTAATTTTCACAGAGTGAGGACCATTAGTACAGCGTGCGATTACTCCCTAAAGATGTTTATTTAGTGCTTATTGCTTATCTCAGTCTTAAATACTAAACAAAATAGTTATAATTTAGTCAGTGTAATATCACTTCAGTCCTAACTAACAACAGTCTATTTCCTTCAATCATATTGATCATATGTTTTGCAAATGTGCAGTTGATCTTGTGAAAGATTTAAATGGTGGTTAAATGAACAAACCTGTCAACACCGTCTTTAAGCAAACATGACACCACAGCAGCTGTGGGTCTGACCTAAAACTTCTTTCTAATCTGTTTGACTGACAGCATTCATGATCAAAATGAAGAAGAACTACAATTGCATCATCAGAGTTCTTCTTGTGAAAATTACAGAGAATTTGTGGGTTGTTTGGTTTCTTGACCCTCAGTGCATTCATAGTAAAAATGTGTTAAATGCATAAACAGTGAATAAAAACATAAAAACACAATGTGACAAGAGATCAGTAAAGGTCACAACACATTATGTTATTCCCCCTTTTGGGGATTTTTGCATTTATCAATCCTATTATCTCTTTATCTCTGTCTGTTGACATGTTCAGGAGTAAATGAGGTTATATGACATGTGGCCAGCAGCATTATCTGCAAACCAGCACGTACTTAGAAATACAAACTGAAAAAAGTGGCATCGTGAAATACTATTAATTTCTGCTTAGTAAATAAGAAAAAACTCTACAGTTATATGTGAGGATACAGATAGACAGCTTACAGACTAGACTACAACTAGCCAAGTACAGCCATGGCGTAACATTCATTAAAATGATTGCAGAAATGAGGAACTAGGAGACAAGGTTTCACTGAGGGGTGTGTTGTGTTGTGCAGTGTGCAAGTAAGATGCTGAAATCTTTTTCCTACTAATGATAAATTCATTCAGGGTAACAATGAGTGGGTGGTCTCCCCTTACTGTCATAGGGCAAGAACAAATTTCAGGAAACGAGTTTTAGAGATATAGATGTATCATATATCATCTGTGACTGGTTACTGTTGCCTAATATTTGGCAAATATTAGATTGTTTATACACTGTAATTTTTTCCAGAAAAGATTATGAAATGATGCTGTCAAACAAACTCCTCAGTGTAACACAGTTCAATTTAAATGTCTGTGAAGGTTCTCAGTCATCCAGTTCAATTTAAACCATTTCTATCCAACAAACACCAACCACATCACATCAGCCCCTGACAATTTATCATAATTGTTGTAATGGATTGCAATAGAACAGTGACGGTGTAAATGACAAGGCTGTTGAGATTACGTGTGCTAGTGTTAGTAGAATAAATCCAGTAGGGTAGGTTTAGCTGATATTTCTTTAACTATGCAATAAACGGCAACCTTTAACTGTTATAACTGTTAGGCAACTGCCTTGTCAACATCATCACATATTCATTGTGAACATGCAGAGCACACTCTACATGAACGGTGTAAGTTTACGTATCTGTTTTAAGCATCAACGTGTCCCCATGACCACGCCCCAGTTACACTGAAAGAAAGTGTGCACTTCAGCACGTTCCATTGACCGCAGCAGTACTGCAAGCCTTTGCACATCCACAGTTCCAGAACACCAAACAGAACAACAGACAAGGACTGTGCTGCAGCGGCCTCGCATCACAGACCCTCCCCCTTACCCCAATAGCATCCCCTGACACCCCCCCAATGCTCCCATGTAGTTCAGCAGGAACGTGTCACATGGCTTTTTGCACACCAACTCATATCCATTTGTACTGTGCTGATTGTTTTAAAGGATTTTGCCTCCATCAACAGAAAAGTGGGGGGTTAACCTTTTGGAATTCAGCCTAGGCCATCCTCTTTGACATTCGCTCACTCCTGGCTTGCACTCTCTCTCACTCTTTCCCTAAGGAAAGCCTGATACTTAAGAGGGTTGATTTATCCTGAGGAATTCAGGTGAGATGATGGTGATGGTGATTTGTTAAATTGCAGTAGAATTTATAAACTAGAATGGATAACACTGGCTGCTAACCAGTTTTCATGCACTGTGACTATTTCGTAATAATGTATGTATATTTCATGTTTCAGGGTCTTTATTTTCAGTATATTCATAGATAGTTTTAAATAATACATCAAGCATTTCTAATGATTCTAAAGATTTCATCCCATAAAGATTGAGATTTGAGATTATAGATTTGTCTGTTTGTTTTATATATCCTGACAGGAATATGACATTCAGATGTTACACACCAGTGTTGCAGATGTATGCCGTCTGAATTTTGCTCTTACAGCTCAGAGAAAAACTGAACCCACATGTCTTGAAACAGATGCTTGATATGTTTTTAAAGTTGTTCAATATTTACCAAGGCTGATAGTGCAAGTGTATAGTTGGTATTGTAGCTGATACTGTTTTCAATGTGTATGTGTGTGTGCCATAATAGCAAAATGGAAACTGTTACTGGAATTTCCACAAAGGCTGTTTTGAGTGTTTATATCTGTCTGTACGTGGACAGAGTTTGTTAACACAAGATATAGTCGTGAAACTCCACAAATGTTTTGCTGAAATTAAAGTAAAGGATGAGTATGATGATGGGTTTAGTCTGATCCATGGGTGCTGATTACTTATGCAACTATACCCTTACCCTAAAATGACCTTACATTTTATTTGTGTCAGCTGTCACTGCCTTTCACATCATTGGAAGTTATTTGCTGATTATATTGCCAGTCTATTTCCTTATTTGTTTTTTTGTGGCAGTTTATTTGCTGCAGTTGTAAGCACATAAAACACATTCAAAGAGTGAGCGAGAGAGTACGTGTTGCTATGAGCTGATTGCATTGCAGGTGGCATGATTTGTTTATCCAGGTCTGCAGCTGTCCTTTGCTTTGTTGTGAGAGATAACTGCGTCGATAAAACACATTATATGAATAAATTTAGATCAATTAACTATAAGACCCACATAAAACTTCATGTTTTATAAAACATGATAAAAATATCTTTATTAATAATGCAAGCTTTGTTTTGGATTGACTCACAAACTGACTATGTGTCACAGTAGGATTCAGGGAGTGCAATGGTATATATTCACTAATTCCTGGAAGTGAAGTGGTTTTAGAAGAATGCATTTAGCCTTTCTGATTTAATATAAATGAAGTTTGAATGAATGCAACGCCATAGTGACAGACATGTGGTGGCAACTAGATGTGGGCAGTTTTTGTTTTTACTCTTTCCATCTACTTCTTCAGGGTGTTACTGTCTCTTAAAACCATTCCCTACTTAATAAACATTAACATTATAGCACCAAGCTGTAAAGAAAATTACTATTTTCTTTCCTGCAGCTTTACTCTTGCACCACTGATTCCTATCTTCTTTTTTCTTTTGACAGTGCATAAAGCCTTAACCACAGTCATAGGATCACTCATGATGTACAGCTTCATGGGAGGGGGCCTTTTTTGTGCCATTGTGGGGAACATCCTGTTGGTGGTCTCCACAGCCACAGACTACTGGATGCAGTACCGTCTGTCTGGCAGCTTCGCCCATCAGGGCTTGTGGAGATACTGCATGTCTGGAAAGTGCTACATGCAAACTGACAGCATTGGTAAGTAGGGAATTGTCCTCTACCCAAATTCATTACATTTAAAACTTTGTAAGGAACAGTGATCCTCCCCGGAGACAGTTGTTTATCTGGTCAGAAGCCAACTTTTCTTACTTTTAAGGCGCATCAACAGGATGTTGTTTATACTATTAGAATGAAAGCCCAAGACCAAGTTTATAGCCAACCTCTGTGGTATTTGCTCTAATGTTAGCATGCCAGTATGATCACAGTTACACTGCTGATGCTTAGCACATATAATGGTTTACCTTTTATTCTTAATAAACTTATTTGCATGCTAAAATTGGCCCATCGATGTTTATAATACAAAGGACTGCTGAGGCCCATTCTCATTGGTTATCTGGTGACAGTCTGATAACCAATGAGAGTGGGCAGTTTTGGACATGACAACTGCAGACAATGAAAAATCAGTTTTTCAAATATATAATAGTTTAAAATGATCATTATATCCACTACTTGAACTTTCCGCTTTATCCAACTAATCTATGTCACTCTGAGAACAAAAAGAATAACTTTGGATCCCTGTATTGGTGGCAATAACCCATGATGCCCCTTGGTTTCAGCATTACATCATACTAATGTTTGGCTACCCTAACAGCTGCTGCTGATGTCATAAATGAAATTGGAATAAATTGTATTAATTGCAATTACAACCATACACCGCACAAGGAATCAAAGAGTCAGTACACCAAAATAGATCTCAAATATTTTTAGTAAATATATTAAATTATTAATATATTCCAATGCAAGTTCAAGTTGATTAAAGTTGTCTTTTGTTTTTTTTATTTATATTATGCATTACAATAGAGAAAGTTACAAGTTTATGAGTTATATTTGGAGAGAATCTTATTCTGAACTCAAATTTATCTTTTTTTAACATCTAAAATATATAATAAATACATCTGTAATTTCCTGGGTAGTGCTAGTATGTTGTAGTTCTTCTAGCATACATCTTCATAGTATTTTCTTGTTTTACTCCTCCTCAGCATACTGGAATGCCACTCGTGCTTTTATGATCCTGTCGGCCATGTCATGCTTTGCTGGCATCATCGCAGGAATCCTCTCCTTTGCCCACTTTTCTGCCTTTGAGCGGTTCAACCGATCATTTGCCGCTGGAATCATGTTCTTTGTTTCAAGTAAGTCATTGATGCAGAAAACAATTAACATTTTAACATTTATTAAAGTGATTATTTGGAAACTGATAGTATCATTATTTTTATCATATTAGTATCATATTATGTCTAACTGTGTGTCCACTATACCAGCTCTCTTTGTTCTGCTTGCAATGGCCATTTACACTGGGGTGACTGTGAACTTCCTGGGCAAGCGCTTTGGTGACTGGCGCTTCTCTTGGTCCTACATACTAGGCTGGGTGGCCCTGCTAATGACCTTCTTTGCAGGTTTGTTTATCTAGATGAATCTTAGTATCAATACAGTGATATTTAACAGTTTTTGGAAATGCAGAAAAGCATTGAATAAACCAAAATTACAGCAGGTCTCATTTATTAATTTCTTAATTATAATAACACAAATACATTTGAGTTTTATGAACACTTTCATTTTCTGAAAATGTTATCCATACTTATATATGTTAGAGCTGCTGGATTTCTGAGTTAGTACAGTCTTTACTTGTCAAACTATCCATCATAGCCTCGCCTCTGTCAGTGCGGCCCAGGGTGGCTGTGGCTACAATGTAGCTTGCTATCACCAGTGTGTGAATATGTGTGTGAATGGGTGGATGACTGGATGTGTAAAGCACTTTGGGGTCCTTAGGGACTAGTAAAGCACTATACAAATACAGGCCAAATACAGGCCATGTATATATTTTCTAAATCTTCTACTCCATACACGAAATATATGTCTTACTATCAGAAATCAAAGTCTGTTTGGCATGTTATATTATAGAAATTGTCTCTATGTCTCTTTAAAGATGACTTTTGTTGATGTTTTGCAGGTATATTCTACATGTGTGCCTACAGAATGCATGAGTGCAGAAGAGTGGCTGGCCCACGTTAATGTAATGAGGAAAAAGTGTGTCAGGGCTGCGGAAGACATTAGTTTACATTTAAAGATTGGCACCGTGGTGGAAAACAATAAAATTTGGAAAACTGCATATGTACCAAATGTGTATTTTTTTATTTTTTTATTTTTAAGAAAATGGTCAAGGATAACACAATCCCATTAAACAGCTTAGGATCATAAGCAATAGTAAGATATCCAAATTTAAGCTTGAATATTTTAAAAGATTTCAGATACAGGTCTGTATGTATGAATTGTTAAATATAAGGCTCAAATCCTGATATAATTTCTGTAATTCATAGTAAATTAATATAATAAAATGAAAATGTACATGTGATATCAAATATGATGTAATTTTTACATTTTCGATCTTAGCTAGAGTTGTTGGTCTACGCTTGCAGCCTTGAATCAGTACACCTACACTTCCTAAAAATAATCTTTTCTCTAAAGAAGTAGAAGTTGGAGGAGGAAAAGTAGAAGATAATGGGATCAATGAAAGTGTTGAAACAGCTAAGCAGAAAGGTGTAGTACCTCCACTCTGGGCTTTGTCCCTGGATGTAACCCACTAAATGAGATAAATTGTATGGCAGAACACAAATGAGGAACACAGCAAGAGTCCCTGAGGCCATGCCAATGGCCTTCTGTTTCTGCATCTGGGATATTCTGGACCGGCTGTACAGAATCGAGATGCAGCGCAAGTAGCAGTAAACACAAATAAGAAGAGGTATGAGGCAGAGTACAAAGAAAAACTCCAGACGTACTGGGAGGAGGATCTCCAGCTGCTTTTTTGTGATGTGTTCATAGCACACACTGGAGTTATTGCTAGACAGAGATGGGTGATGCTGGATGATGAAAGCGATACTGCAGTGTGCTGTCGAGATCAGCCAAATAACAGCACTAATAGCAACTGCATACACGGGTTTGTGCAGTTTATGATAAGTGATAGGAAATGCTGCTCCTATGTAGCGGACCACGCTGACTGCCATCAGCAGCAAGGAGCTGGTGTAGATTGTGGAGAAAAAAGCAAAGGATGTGATGGAGCACATGAAATGAGATAAATTCCATTTCATACCAGATGCTGCCTCGTGCATCTTGAGAGGCAGAATGATCAAAAACAGCAGGTCAGAGACAGTCAGATTGAGTAGCAGGATGTCTGTTGGAAGTGGCTTGGAGTGGATCTTGACACTAAACGCATAGAGAGCCAAGAGATTGCAGGGGAAGCCAATCAGGAATGAAATGATGTAAATGAAGAGAATGATCTCACTGCTCACAGTGGACTCCATTATGGACCTAAACCAAAATAAACAACACAGATTAACTTCTTCTTCTTCTATGCTTCTCATACATCTTATACATATACAGTATTATTAAATCTAATATATCAAACCAAACAGTAATGAATACAATAAATTTACAGATGTTAATTGGCAAGTAATGTAGGAATTTTCAAACTTCAGAAAGTGAATGTCTCTAGTTAAACAATGAAGGAAAATCAATGTCTTGCAGTTATGATCAATAGATAATACTAAAGCATCAGTGTTGCTTGCTAAACAATTAACATTTTACGTTAGTATAGATACAGTTATTTAGGAAACTGTGTTTCATTACTTCAATCACTTAGAGGTGCTAAAACAAACGAGGCAGTCAGCTGTCATCAGTAGATGATTTTCAGTAGCAAATAGGATCTTGGTATATTTTTACTTACCAAGCGGTATAATATTTCTCCGATGTCAAAACTTCACAATTAACACTCCGTTCTGTTCTTTTCATCAAAGACCTCCAGTTTCTAATCCAGGTTTAAAGATGAGTTGATATAAAATGTTAGAAGCTTAAAACTCCATGCGACACACTGGGGCACACTACAATGACTAACAGCAGACACCAGTAGGTTAATATTAACTAAAATAAATAACCGCAGCTCATGTTGACTTTCATCTTAGATATGTTAACAAAGGACCTCCTGTCACCAAAATAAATTATTATCATAGTAATTTCCTTCGGGATTAATAAAGTATTCTGATTCTGATTGATTCTGATTTGGATTTCATAAGGCCAGAAGCCTGCATTTATTAGAATTCAAGATATTTTCCATTGCTCCATGAGAAATTTGTGATTTTAGGAGCACTGTGGAGATTACCTATACATGTAGCCTTCAGTATAAAAACAGTTTTTCTTGACTTAAGGAGAGTTTATACTCTCCTTAAGTCAAAGTCACTGGATGTCATGCGTAAGGACTTTACAGCACATAGACTGAAAGAGCTGAAGATTGACGGTCTGCTCTATATCCTGAGTTTATCCCATATACTCCTTGTTATATCAAAACACTAACACTGACCACCAGGGGTTAAAGTGGGGTTTGACAGACGAGAAAAAGATACATAACATAGTGGTTTAATGTGTGGAAAACAAGTAATTTAAAAACAAGTTACTGTAGTTTCTACTGCTAGCTCTACTAGATTTTTTGTTATGTACAGGCTGTAAATTTATCTTATCTGCACTGTGCCCACATCACAGTGATGAGCAGGACAACAGGATGTGTTAAGGATGCAAGGAGGACTGTGGGAAGTGATTTTTTCTTAGTTTTTTAGGAAATATCACCATGCACTCGATATTATGCATTAATCAGCACCTCAGATTTAATTTCTCATTTACTGAAAATACTGAATGCCTTACCAGATTCTTCTTGCCCAGTTTAACCCTTTGCTCAAAGCCAAAGTACATCTGCTGACTTTCTTTACCTTTCAGACTTGTATCTTTATTCTTGTTAGTCAAGAATAATATGTGACCTTAACCAAGCAATTAAAGGTCTCTTTTAAATTTAGAACATTAGAAATACATTTGTGTAAATTATTCAACAAAATATCCAGTTTTATAGTTTCAAAGATTAAACAATACAAAACAATCTGATGGTGGAATATATTTTTATTATAGAACATTTCACAGTCAATCAGGATAACAGTTCCAACTTCTAATACTAATGCGATCCAAGCACGACCACATTAGCAAAGAGGCCACCGAGAATAAAGCTTTTTCAGTAACAATATGACACACACTCAATACCTTTTAATCAGAAATATTACTAACATACACACATTGCCTTCAGACAGCTGTCTGGTGTTATTTCTGAGTGTTATCCAGGTTGCACTGTTCATAGTTTAGCTGGGATCCTTATTTTACCAGAGACCGAATTTTTGTATTCATTTGTCGAGACAAGCGATTCGCTTGAAATAATATAGAGGTATCATGTTGTCACACAGCACAAAGGTCCTGAGTTCAATTCCACCGTCAGGCCAGGGTCTCTCTGTGTGGAGTTTGCGTGGTCTCTCCATTTTTCTGTGGGTTCTCTCTGGGTACTCTGGCTTCCTCCCGCAAACCAAAGACATGCAGTTAGTGGGGTTAGGTTAACTGGTGATTCTAAATTGCCCATAGGTGTGAATGTGAGTGTGAATGGTTGTCTGTCTATGTCTTTGTGTTAGCCCTGTTAGAGACTTGCGACCTGTCCACGGTCAGTGTTGGGGAGTAACGGAATACATGTTACGCATTTAAAATACAAAATATGAGTAACTGTATTCCGTTACAGTTACCGTTTAAAAAGGTGGTATTTAGAATACAGTTACTTTGTTGAAATAAATGGATTACACGGCGGTACTTTCCTGTTTCATATTGTCGCAGGTGAGGACTGTTTCGGTTTTGTTTGACAGCTATGTTCTGTAGTTCCAGGCGGCAGCGTTGCAGTTGCCATGGTTACAGGGGGACGCTCTGCGTGTGTTTCCTGGGTGAGAGAGCGCCTTTTTGTTGTTGTTGTTGTGCTAAGCTAACAGGCAGAATGCTACAGGCATAGCCCTAAAGAATGTAGCCTCATGGGCAGTGTAGTCCGTGCTGCAGGGAGAATGGACTGCCATACTCGTTATGTGTCTGTGAGCGCGAGGTGGGAGAAAAAGGGGAGTGGAAAAGTACGAGTTGTCATCGAGCAAAAACGGGAGCTGGAAGCATGTAAATATAATAATAACCACTGCAGCCAAGAAGAGTGCCTGACGAGCCCAGTGGTAAGTAAGCTATTAAGACTCGACTGTACGTTGGAGCAACCTTTCAACGCTTCTCTCTGTCTCTCACAAGCAGAGTTGACCCAGACAACAAAGTAAAGCCATTTTTTGGCTACAAGGAACCCGTATTAGTCAGAGGTTTACTACGGTTTGGAGCCGCGGACCTTCAGTAATAGTAATAAATCACACAGCAATAGTACATTCACATAGTTGTAAAATGCATGATAATATGTTAAGTAATCCAAAGTATTCAGAATACGTTACTGTCATTGAGTAACGTAACGGAATACGTTACAGAATACATTTTAGGGCATGTATTCTGTATTCTGTAATGGAATACATTTCAAAAGTAACCTTCCCAACACTGTCCACGGTGTACCCTACCTCTTGCCCTCTGACAGCTGGGGCCCTGAATTGGAAGAGAATGGATGAATGGGTGTCAAACGTATTGTGTCTACTTGGCTGACAGCTCTCAGAATATCTTGTTTCAGGAGACAGGTAGACTGGGAAAGGATAACTGGGGGATCTGAATAGACCAAATTTAATCAAACCTATTGAACATCTGCTTATTACTAATTTCACCTTTCAAGTATCTTCAATAAGAAGTAAATTATAGAAGAAGACTGTCGGTTTGACTTAATATGTTCTTGTGTCCTTTATTATTATTATTATTATTATCATTATCATCATCATCATTAACATTATTATCATCATCATCATTAACATTATTATTATCATCATCATCATCATCATTATTGTTTTTTGTTTGTTTTTGTGTCCATGTTCTTTGTTTTCAGCAAGTCATGGCTACACAAACCAAATTAATAATTAATCTAGTGAATTTCCATATGATGCAAAAATAAAGTTCTCAAAAAGTTCACAGCAACTGAATTGAGCATTACCTATAGAATGATAAATTATATTATGTGCACCTCTCTGCATACCAGACCAATTTTCTTTGAACTGCGTGCAGTGGCCATTTACAGTGCTGTGACAGGCAAGTTTCCAGGCAAGCGTTTGATTTTTTTTTTTTTTTTTCCTTTTTTTTCTTAAATGAAAAAAGCGTTTGAGGCTGATTGGCCCTGTTTATGACCTTCTGCGCAGGATTGTTAATGTAAATGAGTGTTTTCAAGATATGTAATATTAAGGTATTCTGCTAATAGTAAAATAAATCAATAGATAGCATTACAGAATAAGAAAAATGCCATCTTTGCTTTAAAAAAATAAAATCAAAAATACATTTCAGTTTTATAAACACTTCTATTTTCATTAACATTTTATTTTGAGTCATTGAACAGTTATGAGGAAGTTCAGATAAACCCTGTACAGCTATTTCAAAAAAAAAAAAATTCTTATGTCTCGCTATCCGTAAACACATTTTCTAAACACATGCAAAGTGACTAGATCAGGTAATGATGCATCAGTTTATATCAAAATGACCTCACTTTTCCACTGTGCAGCACCAGTGTTACGCAACAATGTTTTTTTTGTCTTTTTAATCACCAAAAATAGTTTGTGTGAGTGGGGAGCAGAAAACTTGTGAGAGATTACATACTGCATATTATTTTATCTCTGTAATGTGCACTCAAACAAATATAATCAAACTAAATATGAACAATTACTAATGAAAGGAAATGTTAGTCTAGCTAGAGCTGTTGACATGTCCTTGGAACCGTGAAGGACTGAGCATACAATTCCTGAAAATGAACTTTTCACTTGACAAGCGGAAGATGGAGGAGGAAAAGTAGAAAATGATTGGATCAATACAGGTGTTGAAACAACTAAGCAGCAAGCTGTAGTACCTCCACTCTGGGCTTTGTCCCTGGATGTAACCCACTAAATGAGATAAATTGTATGGCAGAACACAAATGAGGAACACAGCAAGAGTCCCTGAGGCCATGCCAATGGCCTTCTGTTTCTGCATCTGGGATATCCTGGGCCGGCTGTACAGAATCAAGATGCAGCGCAAGTAGCAGTAAACACAAATAAGAAGAGGTATGAGGCAGAGTACAAAGAAAAACTCCAGACGTACTGGGAGGAGGATCTGCTTCTGCTCGTCTGTAAAATGCTCATAGCACCAAGTACTGGAATTATTGCTGGCCAAAGATGGGTGATGCTGGATGACGAAAACAATGCTGCAGTGTGCTGTCGAGATCAGCCAAATAACAGCACTGATAACAATTGCATACACGGGTTTGTGCAGCTTCTGATAGGTGATAGGAAATGCTGCTCCTATGTAGCGAACCACGCTGACTGCCATCAGCAGCAAGGAGCTGGTGTAGATTGTGGAGAAAAAGGTGAAGGAAGTGATGGAGCACATGAAGTTGGGCAGATTCCATTCCATACCAGATGCTGCCTCGTGCATCTTGAGAGGCAGAATGATCAAAAACATCAGGTCAGAGACAGTCAGGTTGAGCAGCAGGATGTCTGTTGGAAGTGGCTTGGAGTGAATCTTAGTACTAAATGCATAGAGAGCCAAGAGATTACAGGGGAAGCCAATCAGGAATGAAATGATGTAAACTGAAAGAATCACTCCACTGTTCACGGTAGATTCCATTATGGACCTAAACCAAAAAAAGAAAAAGAAAAAAAGAACAGATACCAATCACAGTTTAGAAAAAATATACCCCATAATAATAAAATATTTAGCTTTTTTCTGACAATTTAAACACAGAGTAAAAGACAGCTGCCTGTTCAAACGTTCACTGATCAATCACATTGAACAGTATTGAACAATATTGAACAGTTTTATTTCCAACCTGTCTATGTAAATAGTTAAATGCATAAATAAAGAAGTAAAATATGCACCTTAAATATTGCTCAGTTGATACTTTTGATATTTGCATTTTACATTGTGGTGAATAAAATGACTTTTATTCACTTTGATCACTGCCAAAGAAATGAGGCAGTCGACTTTCTGCATCAGCCGTAGAACTTCACCAACTGTAGAATCTTCTGTATTTGGTGTGATAAGGTAAATGTATTTACTCACCAAGCAGAAGAAAGTTTCCAGACTTAACAACTAAAATTCCTTTCTGCAACTTTCATCAAAGACTTTCAGGTTGTAACTCGTGAGTTCAAAGATGAACTGATATAAAATGTTAGAAGCCGGAAACAGTCAGGCTGAAGTCACATGTGACTTCAGCGTGACTAGTACCAGTGGTTAATATTAACTACGATGCAAAACTGCAGCATGTTAACAGTTTGTCTTAGATGGGTTAAGACCTCTTCCTATGTTTTACTCTCCTGTAATCATTTATGAACTTATAATTAGAATTAAAAATGATATAGTTACACCTACAACAAAACTCAGGGAAGAAATAATCATTTTATACATACATTTTTTCCTCCAAGTAGACAATTAATTCATAGTGTTTTAAGATATTTGTGATTCCAGCAGCGCAGGGGAAAATAACATGTAGGCTTTAACCTCTATAGTTCTGTTATCTGTTGCTTAGGAACAGTTTGTCAATGATTTCCTTTTTCCTAAATTGACATCTCTTGCAACAGGAAATAACTATGGTATCAAGTATCTTAAAAATATCACTGGTCCTTTTGCAATCTAGGCTACTTTTTAAAAATGTATCGGTGCTCATGCTTAAGTAGAATAACTTCAGCAGTATATGTAACTGAAATGGGAACAACTGTGTGGAACCTACAATGTAAAGGGCTGGCCATAGCGCAGAAGGTAGAGCAGGCCATCTATTAATTGCAAAGTTGGTGCTTTTGTCCCCGGCATCTCTAGTCTGCATGACAAATATCCCTGGGCTAGACTCAAACTCCAAGTTGCTCTTTGTGGCATCCACTGGAGTATAATGTGTGTGTGGATGGGGCAATGGGGCATGTTGTATAAAGTGCTTTAAGTTCTCAGGTAGAGTAAAAAAGTGATTTAAAAGAACCAGTCCATTTACCACTCAAAACAAATGTCCTCATGTCAGTAGTTTAAAAAATGTTGCAATGCACACCCTGTAGGGGGTAAAAGTCCAGTGCATCAGCAATAGAAAAAAAAAGATACAGTTAGTGTAATTCAGGAAATGTAGTTCTGTTTGTAAGAGTCTATATTGACTTTCAGTCTGATTCATGCTCTTCATGTGTTTTATACTTGAAACAGTAATGGCCAGTTATGAAAATGACTGTACACTTATCGCTGGCTGTATTTCAACCTAAGAGAAGTATGTGGTGTTGCTGAAGGAAATCTTTTACTCTCAGCTGAATTTATTCTTCTCTGGTTCAATGGCTTTCTGAATCAGTGTGTAGATAGGAGGTTACTGTTAGCGACACACCAATGCTGCAACCCTCCACCACAACTTCCTTTTCCAGTTTCACAGAAACATTAAGACGCTTGTATGTACATGTATGTCAAAATTTATAACAAAACAGTAGATCCCAAAGTTAAGGAGCTTGCTTCATTTTCACTTGCTGATTTGGTTGCCTATTATTTCTTTTGGTTAAATGTACTACATTCATTTTTATGGCAGTTTTAGGTTTCTTTATGAGAATGAACACTGCCAAGTGACTGGACTGTATCAATATAAGGAAAACTTGTAGTCAAATATTCCAAAATTACAACAGAACTAGGGCTGGGCGATTGGACAAATATATGGAATATCGTTTTTACAAGGGCGATTGATTGATTTATTTGTCCATGTGTAAATCTGCTCATAATGATGGAGCTAATAGAAGTAGTCAAAAGAAAACATAATATTTGCGATGTTTTAACAGCACCGTCTTTCATCCGTGAACAAATTCTCACGGAAGTGGCACACCGCTTTGGTTACATCCTTAGATTTACCTTTTTCATCCGGTTTAAAGCCAGAGAAATCCCAAATTGGCGACTTTATATTTTTTGGCATTTAGTTCGTCCATGTGTGGAGTTGTTCTGTTTTGTAAACGCGCAAATCAGTCTTTGCATGATTACATTGCTCCGCCCTTTAAAAGTCTGCGTATGTGCCAATATATTGCCCATCGTCGATTATTGGGCTTACGATTGTTTTTACATCATACATACATAAATTTTTACATATCGCCCAACCCTAAGTAGAACAAATTAATTGTGTACCAATTTCAAACAAATCTCAAACATTTCAAATACTAACATCATTTGTTGCCATCAGAAAACACATTTTCTACACAACAGTTTTCTGTGAAACAAAAACTCATGTTTCTGGAGTAGAAACATAAAGCATTAAGAGATATTTCAGAGATATTAGATGGTGATCTACATAGCATCTGCTAAATATCTTACATATCTTATAACAATACCCAAATATTATTAAATAATATATTGAGATCCAACTCTTATCTTATCTACACCACGTCCACTTTACAGTGATAGAGGTGGAAAACAGGATATGCTGAAGATGTAAGCAGATCGTGTGGGATGCGACTATTTTTATTATTATTATTGAGCAAATATCTCCATGTCCTCAGCTGGAAGCAATGAGAGCTTATATATTTTTTTAAAATAATTTAGCCCTGCTAACAGCCACTTCTGGTTATAGCTTCCTTCACATTTGAGAGTTTTATCTTTATAATACCTGCTAAATATTTGACCCTATTGCAATTAAAGACCTTTTTTGAATTCAGAGCATTAGAAACAAATTTGTGCAAATGTATTTAACAAAAACATACACTTCCATAGCTCCAGAGATTAAACAACAGTACAAACAACCTGATGCTGGAATATATTTTTGTAACAGAACATTTCACATTTAATCAGGAAAACAGTTCCCATGAGCAAGAATCACATCAGCAAAGAAGAAATTGAGCATAAACCTTTTTGAATAACAATATGACATACACACAAAAATGTAATCAGAAGTGTTACTTACATACACACATAACCGTTGCCTTTAACTTCCTGTTCTGTGTTACTTCGCAGCGGGTTCTCGGCATCATGCTGGCTTTCCGTCACTCTTTTCCGCTCTCTTTCTTTCTCCCCTGTCAGTCTGTGCATGTGTTTTGTGGGTATAGTGTTTACCTTTCCTCAGTGGTTGCTCAGCTGATCTGAATCACCTGCAGCTAGTTGAACAATCAGGCCGGCTACTTAATGTTGGAGCAGACACTCAGTCATTGCCAGATCTTTGTGTCAGGTGGGTACATAACTCTTTCTGTGTCTCTGTGCAGACCTTTCCATGTTTGCCTGAGGCCTGTGAGCTTTATACTTCAGAGTGTGTGTGTGCCTTGGAAACCCATAATACCTTCGCTGCCACTTAGGGACCTTAAAATGCCTCACTGATTACATTATTTTTTTCCTCAAACAAACCTGTAAATAAACCTTTTGAATTCTTTCCAGTGCTCAGCATGTGGGCTTCTGTCGGTCTCCATGACTCCAAGTTGTGAAATAGATAGTTTGGCTGGTATCCTTATTTTACCAGTGAACGCATTTCTTTCATTTATTGAGACAGAGATGAATATGCACAGTAGAATTCTTTGAAATAATGCAGTCCATATAAGTAGATATATAGGTGTCAGTCAAGCAGCCACAGCTCAGAATATTTCCCTTCAGAAGGCAGGAGGATAGAGTTACTGTGGGACCTAAAAAGGCCAAATTAAAATATACCTGTTGAACTGCCAGTCTTGTGTGGTTGCAATCAAGCCCCCCTTTGAGTTTTTGGGTTGGTTCTCTGGTTGCTATCCAGCAGTGACTATCCTGATGGTTCTGGTTACGACAGTGCTGCACCTGTTATCTTTAATCCCCTTGCTGATTGCCGCTGTGTCAGAGATTTACAGTCAGGTGAGTAAACAACACTGAGACACTTAAGATTGACAACGTGCGGCACGGGTGAAAAGCCCAGAGCAAATCACACCGAACTGCAGTATTTGTTTATTTTTATAGGTTACATCGTCAATATGCAAATATAATCACATTTCCTGTTACGCAGGTCCTGATGCTGTCTGAGTATAAGCTGTGTGTAAGCTGTGTGTGTGTGTCACAAAGTATGTGTGTTGCAAGTCAATTTCTAAGAATAATATAATGCAAGTCAGCCTCTGCGGATATGTATTTCTGTACTGGTCTCTTGTCAGTGTCACAGGGTCAGTTTCCTGTTTCTACAGAAAACTGTCTCTGGTGAAATATGTGTAACATAACTTTTGAAGCATAAGCAAATAAAACAATAAAAACTCCCTAACACGCTGCAATAGACTCTAGGATCTGGTCCTTAGCTCGGTCCCATACAGCAAGTGTTCAAGATGTGCTCGAGGGTCCCTGTCCCTGAACAAAGGCGACAGGCTGGCTACTCAACCTTGTACCATGAGAACATCTGGGAAGCAAGTCAAACTTCCTGGATGAGGAATTTAATCCTCTGGGGGTTACATGAGCAGATATCTTGCCAGCTGACATTTTGCTTCATTGCCTGCTCCCACTTTATCAGAATAAGTGCACCTCCTCAAGAACTAGTTAACATCTTTCCTTCTTGTTGACCAGGACTGAAGGAATGCTCCCAATACCAGCACTGCCTCTTCTTTCTTCCATCTCCTCTCAGTCTTGCTTGGACAGCAAGACTGGGAGGAAATGGGACTATAGTCATGGGCACCTCATATATGAGCGAGGGCCAGATAATTCATGAGAGAATCTGCTGCTAAACCCATGGCTTGAACTGCCCAGGGAGACCAGACCTGTCTATCACCTTCATCCACCCCTTGAGTTTGATGCTGGTTGCCGTGATAAAATCTGTCCTTTAAACTGCATCTGAAGACCTTACTAAAGCTCTTTGTTTTGTTTTGTTTTGTTGTTTTTCTAAAACAGATGTAATCTGTTTTCCTAGCTTGAAGTGGAATCGGTCTGTGACCCTCTGTTTCTTCAGGGCCAATAACTGGTGGGTTTGAAGTGCCCAGGACATGAGCCTTTCTAACTATGGAGGAGCCACTTGGTCCCTGGCACGGCTCTGATGGATGGTTGCCTTATTCCCAACTCGCTGAAAATGCAGACGATAACAGATGAAAAAAAATCATAACTGAAACTTGTACTGGAGAAATAACTCTTGGAAACAGGAGTACTGAAGGGTGAGGTAACCAGTGTTGGGGAGTAACAGAATAACGGTGTTACGTATTTAAAATACAAAACATGAGTAACTATATTCCGTTACAGTTACTATTTAAAAAAGGTGGTATTCAGAATATGGTTACTTTCTTGCAATAAATGGATTACACAGCGGTCTTTTCCTGTTTTATATATTAGGCTATGCCCTCTCTATCTTTGGTAATTTCACGCATCGCTGGAAACCCAAACGAAACATGCAATAAGAGGCTCTAATGCCTGTGTCTCAATCATGTGGCTCATGTCACCTCTATTTGTGGCCTAATGATGTGAAGAAATAAGACTCGACTGTACACTGTGTTCGTGTTTTTCTCCAAAAGAATTAGTTCCGTTGGAGCAGCCTTTCAACGCTTCTCTATCTCTTGCTAGCAAAGTTGACCCAGACACAAGTGCACAAGCACAAGCACACAAGACGAGAGACCACCGAAATAAAACGGGAAGCAGACAGACACAAAGACACAAACTGTCCCCCAGCCTTCCCTGAGTGCTGCCAGGGTCTCTCACTTGCTCACTCTGTGTTCATGTCATGGTTGGCACTCATTCCGAGTCCGTGCCCAGCACCCCTGAGAATTGTCACCCACCTGTGTCTGATGAGCTATTGATACTGTTACAAACTAGGAGAAGCGCTCAACACCTTCTTTGCTTGGTTTGGGTCCAAGGGTCTGTGGTCAACCCTGCACGCATCAACTGTCAGGGATCCTCACCAGGCTGTTCAACCTCTGCCTGACTAATGCCACCGTTCCCAACTGTCTGAAGGTCTCCACCATCATTCCCATCCTCAAAAAGACTGATATAGACAGCCTCAATGACTACATACCCATAGGCCTCAAGTCTGTAATCCTGAAGTGTTTTAAACAGATGGTATCACAGCACATCAGAGACTGCTTACATCCCTCTCTCGACCCCTACCATTTTGCTTACAGAGCAAACCTGTCCACAGAGGATACTGTCACCCTTCACAAAGTGTTGAACCAAATGGAGAACAGGAAGAGTTATGTGAGGGTGTTCTTCATGGACTACAGCTCAGCATTCAACACCATAATCCCAGACACCAAACTGTACCACCTCCACATCCCCTTGCAACCTGCTCATATTACATCATAAGCGCTGACAAGGTGGAAAAGAAGTCAAAATCTGAAGCCAAGACTGTTGAGTGTTTTGAGGGTTTTTTTGCGAAGTTGTCTCCCTCGAGTTTCTTAACAGTTGCAACAGCTCCCTCGGTTTGTTATGACACAACATTGATGTGTCAAATTAATACTAAGGTAACTTTTGTGCCCTGCACTTTTGTGCCCTGCACAAAATACAAGATTTACAGGTGATAGTTTGTTTAAGCCAGCTATGTAGCACTTACATTTCTGTTAATGATGAACTATTTTTTGGTTCTTCTAATCACACATCCAGGTTGAAAATACATGTACTTTGTCTGTGCCTGGCAGCAGTGTAAGGTGAGGGATTTCCTACACATAGATGTGATTGAGCTGAACCTTTGAAAGAGACGTTACTACTTTCAAGAAGTTAAAAAAAAAGCTGCTGAAAAAAAGTTATCTTCTGCCAAAAAAATGATTTGCAGTATTTGCCAAGATATTATTGTTTGTATTGAGAAGGATGTAAAAGACTTGTTGGTCTATAATGTATTACATTGTATTTTAGAGTATGTACAGTAATGCAGTAATAAAGATACTCGCAAAACAGGCAATTTCTTTAATATATATAACCCCTTCATAAATCTTGTAGACTGCAGACTATTTAACAATATGAGCAAAGATATTAGACATAATAGACACATAGATGCACTGGGAACCAGACTGTCACTTTGATCCATACTGTAACACTCACCTGGAATTCATCGAAAATTCATCAACCAGCTATCAGCCAACCATTCATTAACCAGCATGCGTTTATTCACCAAAAATATTTATTAATCAAATAGATATAACTTTTTTTTTCACTGCCTCCCCCCAAAAAATGTTCACTTTAATTCAGTGAAAGGTGAAGCTTTAGTGACAGTTTTAAGTTTTCATCAAAAAACAAAGAAATAAAGAACTCTACTAATTCTTAAAACCCACAAATGCCATTCACTAAAAACGAAGCTTATCATATTGCTCAAATAAAATCTAAACCTGATAACTAGAGTAGGTTGCAGTGCCATTGCCTCAAATTTGATGTGTGTACAAAAAGGGTGGTTTTTGGTCAATCGGGGCATCCCTTTTTATAGATAAGTAGAAGAATCGATGAGTTTAGAGTTAAAGAAGTTTAAGAAGGCTGCAGGGGTTGTTTTACATTTTAATTTTGCAAATCAAAACAGAAGAGCAAGGATATGGTAAAGTATTCAATGTCTTAAAAATAAACGGTTACGGTATGCCTTTTGTTCCATCAAATGTATTTAATTAGTTAGATAGACAGTCTGAAGATAAAAGAGGAGAAAACCAACACTAACTACCAATTAAATCTGTCAGATAATTATTAAATCCATTGTAAATTGCAACTGTGTTTCAGTGATGGTTTGGTGTCTTGGACTTTAACACAGTGTACAGTGTAACTTCGACTACAAGCAGGCACATGGCATGATTAAATCCATACCTGATTATCAAGTTCAAAAGTTATTCCAGAAGACACAGTGGGAAGAAGTCCTTTACTAGCATACCAAAGACAGCATGATGAAAAATTTGCATTTTAGTCATGATTTACCTACTGATGGCTACTATAGGATGAGTAAAGAGGTTTGTCAAATGTGACTTGTGTGTGACATTTTATATCAGTTCACCTTTGAACTCACAAGTTACAATATGAAAGTCTTTGATGAAAGATACAGACAGAATTTTTTTTTTTTTTTGGTTGTTAAGTACACACATTTACCTTGTAAAACTAAATATAGCAGATCCTATTTACTATTGAAATTCTGTAGCTGGTTCTGAGAGCTGCCTGCCTCATTTGTTTGGGACTGATCAGCAGTCAAAGCCATAAAAGAACATTTT